TTTATATCTCTCTTGAATGAAACCTTATGGGTCTTAGTATTTTTTGACTGACTTATTTTGCTTAACATAATATTCTCAAAGTCCATCCATGGTTTTGCAAATGGCAGTATTTTATCATTTCATATGGCTGCGTAGTATTCCATTGTATGTATGTACTATCTTCTTTACCCAATCATTTATCAAAGGACCGAGGTACATAAATTTAGTACCTATGTCTTCTTCTATGTGATTTATTGTGTCAGATCTTATATTAGGTCTTTGATCCATTTTGAATTAATTTTTGTATATGGGGACTAACTGTAGTCTAGTTTCATTCTTTTGTATTTGGCTTTCCAATTTTCCCAGCTCCATTTATTGAAGAGGATTTCTTTTCTTCAATGTGTTTTTGGCTCCTTTGTCAAAAATTATTTACCTATATATATGTGGTTTTATTTCTAGGCTCTCGATTCTGTTCCATTGGTCTGTGTATCTGTTTTTTGCCAATATCATGTTGTTTTGATTATTATTGCTGATAGTATAAGTTTAAATCAGATAGTGTGATACTTCCAGCTACATTCTCTCCCACCCCCCTCCCTCAGGATTGCTTTGGCTACTTTGGGCCTTTTTGGTTTCATACAAATTAAAATTTTTGGTTCTAGTTCTTTAAAAATGTCATTAAGATATCAATGGGGTTTGCAATAAATCTGTATATTGCTTTGGGTAATCTGGACATTTTTACCATGTTGATTTTTTCCAATCCATGAACATGGAACATCTTCCTATTTCATTGTGTCTTTCTCAATCGCCTTTATAGTTTTGAGTATATAGGTTTTTCACATCCTTTGTTAAGTTTATTCCTATGTATTTAATTCTTTTGGTTGCAATTGCAAAAGGATTTTTTTTTCTAAAATTTCACTCTTAGTATATAGGAATACACTGGATTTTTGTACATTGATTTTGTATCCTGCAAATTTACTGTATTAGTTCATTGTTTCTCCTAGTTTTTCAGTGGAGTCCTTAGGGTTTTCTATATAAAGAATTATGTCATCTGCAAAAAGGAATACTTTTACTTCTTCATTCCCAATTTGGATGCCTTTTATTTCTCTGTTGCCTGATTGCTATGGCTAAGACTTTCCGTACAGTGTTGAATAAGTGGTGAGAGGGGCATCCTTGTTGTGTTCCTGATCTTAAAGGAAAGGCTTTTAATTTTCACCATTCAGCAAGATATTAGCTAAGGGTTTGACATATATGGCCTTTATTATGTGAGGTACTTTCCTTCTATAACCATGTTTTGAGTATTTTAATCATAAGTGGTTATTGTATCTTATCAAATCATTTTTCTGCATCTATTGGAAAAAAATCATATGATTTTATCCTTTGCTTTGTTAATGCGATGTAGTACATTGATCTATTTGCATATGTCAAACCATGCTTGTGCCCTGGGATAAACCCGACTTGATCGTGATATGTTATTTTTTAATGTATTATTGTATTTGATTTGCTAGTGTTTTATTTAAGATTTTTGCATCTGTATTCACTAGAGATATTGGCCTGTAGTTTACTTTTTCTGTGATACACTTGCCAGATATTGGTATCAGGATTATGCTGGCTTCATAAAATGTGTTAGGAAGTATTGCCTCTTTTTCAATTTTTTGAACGAATTTGAGAAGAAGAGGTATCAAATCTTCTTGGAATGTTTGGTAGACTTCACTAGGGAAGCCATCAAGTCTTGGACTTTTATTTTAGGGAGGTTTTTTATGGTTGCTTCAATTTCCTCACTGTTGATTAATCTAGTTAGATTTTTCTACTTCTTCATGATTCAGTATAAGAAAGTTATGTATTTCTAGGAACTTGTCCATTTCTTCTAGGTATTGAATTTGCTTGCATATAATCTTTCACAATACTCTAGTATGATCCTTTATTACTGTGATGTCTGATTTTCTTTGAGTCTATTGTCTCTTTCCCTTATAAAGTCTAACCAGGGATTTGTCAATTTTATTAACCCTTTCAAAGAACCAGCTTTTCACGTATTAGTATTTTATATATTATTTTTGTTCTCTCTTTCAATTCTGCTCTAATTTTTATTATTTCCTTTCCTCTGCTGACTTTGGACTGCTTTTGTTTTTCTTACTCTAGTTCTTTAAGATGTAATGTTATGTTGTATACTTGAGATTTTTATTTCTTGAGATAGGTCTGTAATGATATAAACTTCCCTCTTATTACTGTTTTCATGGCATCAAAAAAGTTTTGATGTTATATTGTCCTTCTCACTTGTCTCCATATATCTTTTTATCCCATCTCATTTCTTTTTTAGCACAGTCATTTTTTAGTAGTATGTTGTTTGATCTCCACATATTTGTGGGATTTTACTTCCTTTTTATAACTGATTTGTAATTTCAAAGCATTATGGACAGAGAATATGCTTGGTATAGTTTCAATCTTTTTGAATTTTTGGGGACTAGTTTTGTGACCCAACGTATGGTCTGTCCTTGAGAATGCTCCATGCGCACTGGAGAAAAATGTGTAATTTAATGTTCTGAGATGAAAGGCTCTGTATATGTCAAATGATGTCTATTTGGTCTAATGTGTCATTTAAGGCCGATATTCCTTTATTGATTTTCTGTTTGGATGATTTATCTAGAGCTGTCAATGGAGTATCAGGTCACCAGGTATGATTGTGTTTTTGTCAGTTTCTCCCTTTAGTTCCATTAGCAGTTGCTTTATACAGTTTAATGCTCCTTGATTGGGTGCATATATATTAAGAAGTGTTATATCTTCTTGATGTAGTCTTCCCTTTATCATTATAAAATGTCCATCTTTGTCTCTTGTTATCTCGAAGTCTGTATTGTCAGATATAAGAATGGCTACACCTGCTTTTCTGTGAATGTTATTTTCTTGGAGAATTCTTTTACACCCTTTTACTTTGAGTCTATCTTTGTCTTTGAAGTTTAGATGTGTCTCCTAAAGGCAGCATATGGTTGGGTTGGTTTTTTTTTACTCTGTACCTATTTATTGGTGGATTCAGTCTATTTACATTTAGGGTAACTATTTATGTCTGAAGATGCACTATAGCTATTTCATATTGTGTGTTCCGGTAGCTGTGTGGCTCCATTGTTTCTTTTCCTTTGTGTTTCTGTCTGTTGTTTTGTTTAGTGGTATTTCATACTTTTTTTTTTTTTTTTCCTGTTTCCTCTTGTTTTAAGTTGTGTGTCTCAGTATGAAGTTTTATGTGTGTGGTTACCGTTAGGTTTATGAGAAAGAAAATTTTTTATATATAGTATTTCTTTTCTTTTGAATACGCCTGATCTCCATCCTCCTTTGCAAATTCAGACCTTTACCCCTCCCTTTTTATTTGATTTTATTTTGTCACAAATTATCCCTGTATATGTTGTGAGTTTGTTGGTGATATTAGCCGTGGTTTTGTGGTCCTTGGTTCTTTGTTTCGGGTAGAATAAGCTCCCTGAGGACTTCCTGCAATGGAGGTCTTCCGGTGATAAGTTTTCTCAGCTTCTGCGTATCCGGAAAAGTCTTTATTTCTCTTTCATATTTAAAGTATAACTTTGCTGGATATATTATTCTTGGCTGGCAATTTTCCTCTTTCAGGATTTTGAATATTTGGCTTCACTCACATCTGGCTGGTAGAGTTTCTGCTGAGAAATCCAATGATAATCAAATGGGCTTTTCTTTATATGTTACTTTCTTCCTTTTCCTGACTGACTTGAAAATTCTTTATCATCAATTTTTAATGGTTTTAATACAGTGTGCTTTAGGGAAGGCCTTTTTGGATTGAGGTAATTAGGCATTCTGTGTTCTTCTTGAATTTGAGGATCTAGTTCTTCCCATAGGTTTGGCAAGTTCTTGTAAACTGTTTTAAATAGGCTCTCTGTTCCCTCTTCCTCTCTTCTTATCCTGTATGCCTAGTATTCTTATATTGTTCTTTCTGATGGAGTCAGATAGTTCTCATAGTGTTATTTTATTTTATTTTTTTCTACTCAAGTCTCTCTCTTCTTCCTCTGCATCATTTCTAGATTTCTACCTTCTATATCACTAACTCTTTCGTCCATCTGGTCAGTTCTATTTTTGATGCTCAGTTTTTCATTCTTTATCTTGTTTTTAAAAACTATTATTATTATGTGTATGTAATTCAGGCTGATGTTTTATTTTTTTTAATTAATTTTCTTTTAATGTTGACATTATTGTAGATAACCCTCCCCATTTGCCTACCTATACCTTCCCCTGCCTACCCCTTCTTTGGCCTTTACCAAATTGTTGTCTGTGCCCATGGGGCATGCATATATGTTCTCTAGCTATTTCCTTCACCTTCTTTACCCAGTCATCTCCACCAGCTTCCCCTTGGGCACCAGCCAGTCTGTTCAATGTATCCATGCTTCTGGTTCCATTGTGTTCATCAGTTTATTTTGTCCATTAGATTCCACATATTTGTGAGATCATATGATATTTGTCTTTCTCTAACTGGCTTATTTTACTTAGCATAATATGCTCCAGGTCCATCCATGCAGTTACAATCAGTAAGAGATGCTTCTTTTTTGCAGCTGTATGGTATTCCATTGTGTAAATGTACCACAGCTCTTTTATCCACTCATCTGTTGATGGTCACTTGGATTGTTTCCAGATCTTAGCTATTGTAAATAATGCTGCTATGAACAAAGGGATGCATATATTCTTTCTGACTGGTGTTTAGGGATTCTTAGGATATATTCCCAGAAGTAGGATTGCTGGGTCAAAAGGCAGTTCCATTTTTAATTGTTTGAGGAAACTTCATACTGCTTTCCACAGTGGCTGCTGCAGTCTGCATTCCCACCAATGATGCACAAGGGTCCCTTTTTCTCAACATTATCATCAGCATTTGTTGTTTGTTGATTTATTCATAGTAGCCATTCTGGAAGGTATAAGGTGATACCTTATTGCAGTTTTTTGTTTGTATTTTTTTTTTTTTTTTTTTCATCTCTCTGATAATTAGTGACCCTTCAGCATTTTTTCTTTTCTTTTCTTTTTTTTTCCAGGGGAGAGCATGAATACAATCCCCCACTGCCACAAATGATGCAGTCACGTTTCCCACATTTGGGGAAACCGCAGGGGGGGGTCAGTACATCCGGAGTGCAATGAATAAGCCTCACCCTGGGAAAACCACCTTCGTGATGATGGCATCTCCTCTGCCAGGTAAGTATTAGCAATTTTTCATGTGTATTGGCCATCTGTATGACCTCTTTGGAGAAGTGTCTATTCAGGCCCTTTGCCCATTGTTTTTTTTTTTTTTTTTTTAATCCTCACCTGAGGACATTTTTCCATTCTTTGTTCAAATAGAGTGGGAGGGAGAGAGAGGAAGAGAAAGAGAAAAACATCAACATGAAAGGGACACATCGAGTGGCTGCCACCCCCACAACCCAACCCGTATCAGGGACAAACTGCAACCGAGGTATGCACCCTTAGCGGGAACCGAACCCAGGTCTCTCTGAACCACAGACCAACGCTCTAACCACTGAGCAAAACTAGCCAGGGCCCTTTGCCCATTTATTAATTGGACTGTTTGTCTTCCTGGTGTTGAGATGTACAAATTTTTTATATATTTGAGAAATTAACCTTATCGGTTGTATAATGAACAAATATATTCTCCCATATACAGTGATACCTCGGTTCTCGAACGCCTCGGATTTCGACCAAATCGGTATTCGACCAGGAGATTCGAGAAACTTTTGTCTTGGAATCCGAACAAATATTTGGAACTTGAACTTCCGAGATGAGCCGAGTTGAGCCGAATGGCGTTCATTCGGCCCAGCGCGCCTTGCTTGCGTCAGCAGTGTGAGTGCAGAGAGAGAGTCACGCTTTGTGGAGAGTCACGCTTTACACTGAATTTAACCCTTAGACATACTGTACACTTTTATTTCTTGTTGAGACTTATGTTTTTCTACATATTATATACAAATTAGGCCAGTAAATAGGCATTTTCTGGGGCTTGGAACGAACTGATCCAGTTTCCATTATTTCCTATTGGGTTTCATTGCTTCGGTTCTCGAACAATTTGGTTCTCGACCATCCTCCTGGAACGAATTATGTTCGAGAACCGAGGTATCACTGTAATGGGTTCTCTTTTCATTTTGTTGATGGTTTCTTTAGCTGTGCAGAAGCTTTTTAGTTTGATGTAGTCCCATTTGTTTATCTTTTTCTGAGTTTTCCTTGCCCCAGAGATTCATTGGCAACAATATTGCTGTAAGAGATGTGTGAGATTGTGCCGCCTATGTTTATGTCTAAGATTTTTATGGTTTTGTGACACACATTTAAATCTTTTAATCTTTTATCCATTTCTGTTTGTTGTCAATCCTCACCAAAGGGTATTTTTCTATTGATTTTTTTTTTTTTTAAGAGAGCAGAAGATGGGGGTGGAGAGGCATTAATGTGAGAGACATCAATTGGTTGCCTCTGACCACATGACAACGATGGGCCAGGGTAGGTGCCCTTGACTGAAATAGAACCCATAGCCCTTCAGTCCAAGGGCCCATGCTCTAATCGCTGAGCCAGGGCAAGTCTGTCATCCATTTTGAGTTCATTCTTTTTCCCTCACCCGAGAACATTTTTTTTTTTTTCCATTTTTTGTTCAGATAGAGTAGGAGGGTGAGAGAGAGAGAAAAACATGGATGTGAAAGGGACACATAGAGTGGTTGCCACCCGCACGACCCAACCAGGGCCGGGGACAAACTGCAACCGAGGTACATGCCCTTAGCAGGAACCAAACCCGGGTCTCTCTGGACCGCAGGCCGATGCTCTAACTGCTGAGCCAAACCGGCCAGGGCTTGAGTTCATTCTTGTGTACAGTGTAAGTTGGTGGTCATCTCCAGAATTTTTATTTGGTTCTTTTTCAAACTTTTAATATCTTTGGCAAAGTATTCAATTTGTTGATTTTGTTTCTGAGTTCATTAAACAGCCTATCTGTGTTTTCTTCATCCCATAGAACTTTTTCAGGACTGTAATCTTTTATTATTTTTTTTTTCCTATTTTTTTGTTTTTGTTTTTTAAGTAACAGAGGAAGGGAGAGAGAGACAGAAACATTGAAGAGAGAGAGAACATCGATTGGCTGCCTCCCGCATGCCCCCCACTGAGGATTGAGCCCACAACCTGGGCATGTGTCCTGACCGGGAATCGAATTAGAGACCTCTTGGTGCATGGGTCGATGCTCAACCACTGAGCCACATCGGCCAGGCAGGACTGTAATCTTGAATTCCTTGTCATTTAAATTACATATTTCCATGTATTTAAATTTATTGTGTGGAGATTGTTTATTTTATTTCTGAGCTGCCTATTACCTGGTTAATTATGAAAGCAATGGCGACCAGCAGACCTCCACAGAGTGCTCCCTGCACCTCAACCCAAGCCTGGGATTAGTCACAGAGTGTGCCCTTCGCTCAGGGAAAAGGTGTTTCTATAGTATCAGTTCTCAGGATTGCAGATATGTTCTGCGACCTGACAAGAGGGAGGAGGGGAGGCTAGCTCTGGGGGGTTCAGGGAAGGCAGCCAGTCTCCATGGTTTTGTTCGCTGTCTGGAACGCTGCTTGCCAGACAGCTGTGGCTGCACCTCTGTGCTTGGTCTCTGCCAGGTCACTGGGCTCAGCCACAGCTAGTACTGTCCACTCCTGCAGGAAGCTCACTGAATCTTTTGGCTCCTCCCAGCTGAAGGAGCGCCAGCCACAGCTTGATTCCCCCCTTCTCTGGGCTGAGGCTGCAGTGAGCTCCTGGCTGCAGGGCTGAATCCATGGTTTGTCTGGGTTCTTCTCCCTTCTCATTTCCCTGGTTTGCTCCCATTTGCCCACCTTTGGATGTTTCAGTGCATGAATCTCTTAGATGAGTTTGTGCACGGACCAGGGACTCCTTTGTTGAATTATGACAGTTCAAACTGTGGAAACTTCAAGGGCGGAGACCAAGGGGATCCCTCATGCCAGCATTCCTCTGATGTCACTCTCCCTTCATGAGTTATTTTGAGTTAATTTTTGTACATAGTATGAAATATGGGTCTAAGTTTTTTTATATATGAGTATCAATTTTTCTAGCTACTATAGTACTTTTAAATTATTTTTGTCCAATTTCAGGTGCCCATAAAAATGAATCTGAATCTTTATTATGTTTCAGTCGACTGATCTATTAACCTTTCTGTATGCCAATTGCATACTGCCTTAATTACTCTGCCATTATAGTAGGTCTTGAAATCAGATAGTGGCAACCTCCTATTTGTTCATCTTGTACAAAAATGTGTATTTCAATATAAACCTAAGTAGAAGTATGTTATACACTTAAAGAGTAATTGATAAGTAAAGATAAACTATACATAATGTGCATCTAATACTCCAGGTACATGCAAAATAAAATAGAAAATGTAAACTTAGGGGATCACTTATTTAAATAAGTCCCAAATAAAGCATTAAGTACTTCAAATCATTTGTAGTTGGTAAGCTGATACAATAAAGGCATTAATTTGGCCTCTGTTTCTAAAATGTATATGTATTTAAAATAAATGAAGATTTTTGTCTACCAGAGAGTTACAATATCTCAGGGTTGGAAAGAATGATCTAGTTTAACTCCCTCCTGGGCCTCAGGAAGTCAAGAATTTTGCACAGGATTAAAGCTCAACTATCTATACAGTAGGCAGAGTGAAGATTTATAGCAGTTGGGCCGTCACCAGTACATTATACTCATCTGTATCTTCAAACTCCACATTCCTGGAGAAATAAATGAACAAACTGTTGCTGCTGGTATATTTTACTTTATTTAATATAAATGTATGCATATGTAAACTATTAACATACAATGGAAATCTAATGTGTCTTGATCTTCTGCCATAATGTTGATATTCCTTCATCGCCCACGTCACCATATTAATGATATTTATTTTACCTTACAGTTCTGGCGGGTTTGCTCAGTGTGCTTTGACAGACTCTGTCTAGCTCTGGGAATATGACCAAATCATTTCAGCAGTGGTCTTGATGTCCGTATCGGAAAGTGGCCACTTTAGATATTAAGCTTTAGATGTATTAGGATCCTAAATATTGAACTCTGTAATGCCTATTAGATATTTGGAAGCATTGGATGTGCAGTCTGTCAGCATGCTAACAAATAGATGTATTGAAGACCCAGAAATTCTGGCTCAGAAATAATTCAGGAATGCCTGACCCAATGCAAGAACAGACAGAGTCAAGGTCAGTGAGGATAGCAGTTATCCTGAAATATTTTTACTACGGATTCCAAGTTAACCATGCAAAAGACTAATAAAGAAATAATATTACTTGAGTTGTTCGCATTTGAAACAAAAATTTCAACCTAAGAGGCAACCAAACAATCCACCAGATAAAGGACTGACTAAATCACACTTGCTCTGGAGACAAAGGTATCACTCTCAAGGCCCATGGCTTGTCAACTCTAGAATCCATCTTTCATTCATTTGTGTTTATTCACAGCATGGAAACACATTGCTTTTTTACAGAATTTATGAAGTGTCCTATGATAAAAGATGCTGTAAAAAAGCAAGCATCCCCTTTATACGATCTGGCTCTGCTAACAAGGGCGGAAGGATGGTAATGACGTTCACTTCAGCCTCCAAACATCCTTAATTATTTAACCCAACAGTGACAAGTGCTGTCTCTGGTACAAAGGCATGATTCTGTAGCCACAACTTTTTTTTGCTAAACCCTTTCAAATCATCTCCAGGCAATCCTGTTACAGCATTTCCCAAATTATTCTCTCACAGATGATTTCTAGGGTGTACTTGTCACATTGCTGAGAAGTTTGGTAGCAAGGAATGTATTTTTCCGAATAGCAAACAGAGGAAGAATAAGGTGTTAGCAGAAAAACAACACTTCCATCTCTAGATGCTCACATTTCTGTTAACATGAGGAAAAAAATGATTTTTTCAAAATGTTATTGTGATAGAAATCTTGCTGTTTTGATTGATGTCACAAATCAAAGGTTAATAAAAATAATATATAACAATATAACATATAGTAAACAGAACTTTAATTGCTAATTACAAATTAATAACTCAAAATCTTTAAAATTACATTCCTGAACAACTGTTCCTTCCATTTTTTTTTTTTTTCTATTTTCAATTTTTTTTTTAACTGTCTGTAATTTCTCTATTAAGAAAACTTCTTGCCCTGGCTGGTTTGGCTCAGCGGTTTGAGCGTCG